TTCCTTCCTCCGAGCTGGCTCCATGTTTCAGGTGGGGACATGCTCCCCATCTTGATTTGCCCCCGGGGTGGCTCTCACCCTGTGGCTCCTTCCCTGGGCCCAATTCCAGTGCCCTATCAGTCCCACAGAAAAAAACCCAGCACCTCATTTGAAACCATGAAGTCCTCCAGCCCTCTACATCTCATTCGCTAGGAGCTGCGTTCTGTTGCGGCTTCTCTTGGCCATCTTGGCTCCCCTCGCACCCCAAGTATTGATTTCTAATACTATCATTTTCTCTCTATCCCTAATACTTCCCTAATTCAAGACTTTATCCTCCCTGGCCTAGATAATGGCAATAGCCTTCTCACTGGTTTTCCTGCCTCCAGACTCAAAAACCCAATTTTTCCACAATGTACTTTCTCTGCAGTTTTAACATACAAATCTGACCATTTCAATCTGGGCTAAAGGATTAATTACTGTTTCACTAGCATCACCCAGAAGACATTTCATATATGACATCTACCCTTCCAGCCCCAGCTCCCATCTTCCACCAAGTCCCCCTTCTCTCTTGCATTTCAGCAGTCTCCAGAGGCTCGCATACCATCTCCTTCTCTCACACACACACATACATACACCCACACATGTGCACACATGTACACACACATGCTCATACACCAGGCTGTTTCACAAATACTATATTGGAGCTTACGTTTTAAAATTACCAGCTTACCTACTAAGAATATATGAAGCCATCACAGGGAATATATAATCAGTTAATTTCCTACCCTACCATTTCCCTCACTGACAAAATAACCACAAAATTAATTTACTTATAGAAAAAAGTTTAAATCAGTTTTATAAGTAAAATTTTTAAATTTTCTTTCAAAGATAGAGAAGGACTTCCAGACAATCACAAAACAGTAACATTATTCATATAGTGCTTTTAGCATTGTAATACCTGATTTACCTGAAATATAAGCTGACTGATTTCCTTCAGGTTACATACAGTGACTAGCATTGTGACTAGCTATTGTTTCTGTTTGCTGAAACCAAAAAGCTTCAAGGACACAGAAATGGTATTGTTAAAGAAGCACAGGGGACTTAATACATTATCTTACTGCCCCCTGCTGTTATTATTGTGTGTTATAAATGAGGCCCTGGAAATTTTCAAATGATGCGAATGTCTAATAACCTAAGCTTCCTCTTTTTTCAATTGCCAATGTCTCCTTTAATCCATAAAAGCCATATTAAAAATATATAAAAAATTAACAGATGCCCCTTGATCACTTATTCCCTATGATATAGCACTCAGAAATTTTTTTTTTTTTTTTTGCTTCAAACTTTAAGTTCCAGGGTACATGTGCAAGATGCGCAGGTTTGTAACATAGGTAAATAAATGTGTGCCATGGTTGTTTGCTGCAGAGATCAAACCTCACCTAAGTATTAAGGCCAGCATCCATTAGCTATTCTTCCTGATGCTCTCCCCCTACACAGGCCCCAATGTGTGTTGTTCTTCCCAATGTGTCCGTGTGTTCTTCCATTTTAAGTAAGAACTCTCATTGTTCAGCTCCCATTTATAAGTGAGAACATGTGGTATTTGGTTTTCTGTTACTGTATTAGTTTGCTGAGGATAACAGCTTCCAACTCCATCCATGGCCCTACAAAAGACATACTTCATTCCTTTTTCTAGCTGCATAGTATTCCATGATGTATATGTACCACATTTTCTTTATCTAGTCTATCATTGATAGGCAATTAGGCTGATTACATCTTTGCTGTTGTAAATAGGGCTGCAATTAACATATGTGTGCATGTGTCTTTATAATAGAATGATTTATATTCCTTTGAGTATATACCCAGTAATGAGATTGCTGAGTCAAATATTATTCCTGCTTCTGGATCTTTAAGGAATAGCCACATTGTCTTTCACAAGGATTGAACTAATTTGCACTCCCCACAATAGTGTAAAAATGTTCCCTTTTCTCTGCAACCTCACCAGCATCTGTTGTTTCTTGACTTTTTATTAATCACTATTCTGATTGGTGTGAGATGGTATCTCATTGTGGCTTTGATTTAATGCAAATCAATGCATTAAATCTCTAATGATCAGTGATGTTGAGCTTTTTTTCATTTGGTTCTTGGCCACATGAATCTCTTATGTTTATTCACATCTTTTGGCCACTTCTTAATGAGATTTTTTTTTCTTGTGTATTTGTTTAAGTTCCTTGTAGACTCTGGACATTAGACTTTCGTCAGATGGGCGGATTGAAAAACTTTTTTTCCATTCTAGTAGGTTGTTCACTATGATGATAGCTTATCTTGCTGTTCAGAAGCTCTTTGGTTTAATTAGATCCCATTTGTCAATATTGTTATAATGACCATATCATCCAAAATAATTTATAGATGCAGTGCTATTCCCATTAAACTACCACTGACATTTGTCACAGTATTAGAAAAAAACTATTTTAAAATTCACGTGGAATGGAAAAAAAGCCCAAATAGGCAAGACAATCCTAAGCAAAAAGAGCAAAGATGGAAGCAACATGCTCTCTGACTTCAAACTGTACTACAAGGCTACAGTAACCAAAATAGCATGGTACTGGTACAAATGAAACAAACACATAGATTAATGGAACAGAATAGAGAGCTCAGAAATAGGATCATACATCTACAACCATCTGATCTTCAACAAACCTGACAAAAACAAGCAGTGGGGAAAGATTCCTTATTTCATAAATGGCTCTGAGAGAACTAGGAAGCTATATGCAGAAAATGGAAACTGGACCCCTTCCTAACACCTTATACAAAAATTAACCTAAGATGAATTAAAGACTTACATGTAAGACCCAAAACTATAAATAAAAAAAAAATCCCTAGAAGAAAACCTAGGCAATACCATTTAGGGCATAGGAAAAGGCAAAGGCAAAGATTTCATGATGAAAACACCAAAAGCAATTGCAACAAAAGAAAAATTCTTCCCAATGGACAGATACCCATGGTCAGAAGCTATTCTGAAGCCTGCAGTGAAAAGGAACAGAAACTAGTTCTTTTGTGTTATAATGTTATTTGACTTCATATTCTTGTGGGAGTAATATTGTGTAATGGTGGAATTCACAGGATTGGGGGTCAAAGCCATCTATTCTGATCTTCTTTTGGCCACCAGGCCTTATTTATTGGCTGTCTGACCCAGGCAAGTCACTTAGCTAATGTGTAGTTATTTCAATGAAAAAAGCATTGAATGAGAGGTTGTATGTAAAGCATATGAATGTTGTATAATAAACAGAAGCTCTTCTTATTTGTAAAGAATTGTAAAGTGGCTACTAACAATTTCAGTCAAGCTAATTGTCAGCATCACATGAAAACAGAACATCGCTAAAAGTGTTTATCACTGAAGTCAACTCTATTCAGGGATTAAGGTTTCCGTCAGGATAAAAAACTATAGGTAAATTATATTTATTTTTGGCTGCTCAGCCCTCAAAAACATTTCTATGATACATATTACGGTCTTAATGATTTTTCCTACTTTTACAAAATGATAACACAGTATATTAAACCCAGAAATGTCTTTACCTCCAGTCTTTAAAACTTAGCAGTGCCAGGTGTGGTGGGTCACACAGAGACCCACTATATATCCAAAGGAAAGAAAATCAGTGTATCAAAGAGATATCTGCATCCTGATTTATTGCAGTACTGTTCACAATAGACAAGGTATGGAGTCAATCTAAATGTCCATCAACAGATGAATGGATAAAGAAAATGTGGTATATGTACACAATGGAATACCATTCAGTCATAAGAAAAACAGAATCGTGTCATTTGTTGCAGCAACATGGATGGAACTGAAGGCCATTATCTTATGTGAAATAAGGCAGGCATAGAATGACAAATGTCTCACGTTCTCACTCATATGTGGGAGCTAAAAAATAATTGAAATCACAGAGAGTGGAATTATTGTTATGGTTATTAGACCCTAATGATTTGTGCCATAATTTGAGAGTACCTAGCCGACTGGATTTGAAATATCCTAAACCACTTTGTGATTTTATCTGTTTTTCTTTCTAGGGAGTCTGAGGCATGGGGAAAAGAAGGAGGTGGTAGTAATATTTGTACAGATCAGACTAGGTAAGGAAATCAAGTACAACTGCTCTTCACTTTAACAGAGAGTTGAAGGTTAATTGTATACACTGAAAATATTCCTTTCAATCCTGTGCAAATTAGTGTCTTCAACAGCACCAGAGAAAGCAAAAAATACTAATTACTTTCCCTTATCTCTACTTTCCTTTTGTTTTCTTCTTTTCCACCCATCTTCTTTCCTTCTACCTCCCTCTCTCTTGATTATGAGCAGAGGAGAAAAAAAGAAATATCCAAGCACTCTAAATCATTTTTTTTTTTTTTTGAGACAGAGTCTCGCTCTGTCTCCCAGGCTGGAGTTCAGTGGTGCAATCTCTGCTCATTGCAACCTCTGCCACCCGGGTGCAAGCAATTCTCCTGCTTCATCCTCCTGAGTGGCTGGGATTACAGGCATATGCCACCATGCTCAGCAAATTTTTATATTTTTAGTAGAGATAGGGTTTCATCATGTTGGTTAGGCCGGTCTCAAACTCCTGACCTCATGATCCACCTGCCTCGGCCTCCCAAAGTGCTGGGATTACAGGTATGAGCCACTGCATCCAGTCCAAGCACTCTAAGTCTTATTGATGGGTTTTATTGAAAGGGTTTTCACTTTGAAGTTCTTAACCACTTCATATCAAGTTTTAATTTCATCAAAATGTCAGTGTCTTGTGCAGAATGATAGTGTCGAAACAATCCTAATCGTTTTGCAAGTGAAACAGATCATATGCGTTTCTGTACTCTAAACTGGAGAATTTACACAAGCTATTGATTCCTGGAATACAAACCCCTGAACTCAGAGTTGAGAATTCATACAATATAGCAGTGTTTGTCAAGTACAAATGAAATCATCAGTTTCTAGGCATAGTTATTCAGAAAGAACTTTCCAAAAATGATCTTTCAACAAGAGCTATTCTTTTCAGAAATTTATTTAGTCTAAAAAGCACACTTTAAGATGGACATATTGTTCATTTAACATGTGCAATTACAAACTCACTACACAAGAAATAAGAAACAAAATAGTGACAATGAACATTGTGGCAGATGGTATGGTGGATGAGGGATTGTAGAAAATTTGAGAAGATTCCTCTCTCTCCTCGGGAGGTTTTAGAGAGGCATCTATACAGACACCATCCGCAATACATACGTCAACAGCATCAGTGTTTTTTACATCAGCTTTCGTCTTACAACTCAAAGTGGTATAACAGCTGCAATAAAATTTTTCGGAAAACTGCTCCAGGTCTTCAAATGTTGGTTTTCCACGTACTGTGAACTTTCCATCTTTCTCAATTTCAATAGCAAAATTATCTGGGTTCAGGTGAAGATAGTCACTTGAATTCCAGTCTTTCCTTACACACACTCCTTGCTCCTGGCAAAGAACCTGGCTACACATTTTGGCTGCTAGTGTGGTGTTGATTATATAAGGATTCAGTATAGTCTCCATATAAGTGTTTAGGAGCAAGCAAGATTTCTGTAAAATTATAAGACAGTCAGAATACCAAAGGACAAGTTAGTTCATACATGAATTAATTTAGTGTAATAAGCAATTTTTTACAGAAGAATGAAAAATCAGATGTGGCAAAAAATAGAAGATATTTTCTTTTTTTACCTAACCAACAAGATTATTCTGTCTTTTGTGACATTTGTAACTTTCACAAGCCATTTCATTCCACTGAATAATTGACCAATTGAGGCTTAATATTCCTTATCCTTGCTCTTCCTCCATAACTCATAAAATAATCAGAGGGATAGAATGCTACAGCTGTTACAGTATGTTAGAGTATGGTCTCTGGGATCCATTTGCCCTGATTTGAGTCCCACTTGCATTAACGACTAGCTGTATGAACTTGGGAATTTCTTAAGCTTTCTAAGTCTTAGTTTCCTACCTGGGTGACTTTGGGCAAACTGATTAACTTGATTATGCCTCAGCTTTATCATCCGGAAGAAAAGGATAATTATGATGCCTATCTCATAAAGTTGTTGTGAAAATAGATAAAAAAAGAATAATACATATAAATGTGCTTAACACAGGGACCTACCATATCTTCAGTTGACCCTCAATAAATCATAAATAAATTTAAAAAGCACTACATTTGTCAGACATTTATTTTTTCCTGAGACAAGGTCTCACTCTCTTGCCCAGGCTGGAGTACAGTGGGGCAGTCTTAGCTCACTGCCCCCTTGATCTCCTGGGTTCAGGAAATCCTCCTGCCTCAGCCTCCTGAGTAGCTGGAACTATAGGCATATGCCACCAGACCTGTCTAATTTTGGTTTTACTTTTTGGTAAAAGTGAGGTCTTACTATGTTGCCGAGGCTGGACTTGAACTCTTGGGCTCAAGTGATCCTCCAACCCCATCCTCCCAAAATGTTGGGTTTACAGGCATGATCCATCATGCCTGGCATACCAGACAAGTTTAAACAGCATGGAAAACAGTGATTTATAAATTGCTGGCTCACATAAACTAAACATGTTCAACTGAGTATACTTTATATTAAATGTTAAATATAGTCAAGTTATGGGTGAATAATGACAACTCTTTTACAAATTTGGCAAAGCATGAGTGATGGCTAACTAAAATGATTCATCTTGAGCCCGGTATGTTCTAAACCCTGGACACTGCCCTTTGAGAAATATTGAAGATAATCACTTTTTTCATAATCAACAGTTTCATTGAGTGAGCTGGTTGTGCCAGTCCTTTATCAAACCAAAGGAAGTGGTGGTGGTAGATATGCAGGCATGTGAAGGAATCTTGGCAGCTTCCATCTGAATATATTTCTTTTAATCTTCCTTGAGATGACATCATCTATTGTTGGCAGAATAACTGATTCCCAGAAATGTCTGTGTCCTAATGTCTGTGGCAGTGTGAGCTTACATGGCAAAAGAGACTTTGCAGATGTGATTAAGGGAATGGGTCTTGAGAAAGGGAGATTATCCTGAATTACAAGATGGACTCAATGTAATTGCATGAGTCCTTGAAGTGTAGAAACTTTTCAAGCTTGGTTAGAAAGATGAAATGAAGGAAGGAGAGATTCAAAGTGTAAGAGAGGTTCAACTCACTTTGGCTGACTTTCAAGATAGAAGAAGAGGGCCGTGAGCTACAGAATGTACTGGCCTTTAAAAGCTGAAAATTTGTCAGTAGCCAGTCAGATAATGTGGATATCATTGTTAAAACCACCAGGAAGTGAATCTGCCAAATGAGCGAGTATGTTTTCCTAGAAAGGACAACCCTGCTGTCACTTTGATTTTAGCCCATTGCAATTCATATGGGACTTTTGGTCTAAAGACTACAAGATAACAAATTTCTTCTATTTTTTTTTTTACCCACTAAGTTTGCTGTAATTTTTATGAAAGCAATAGAAAACTAATCCACCATCCATCTTCTTAACTATCCAATGACTTCGAATGACGTTTAGAGTGAAATTCAACTTCTTCTCTTGACTTGTGCACAGTGTGACATGGTATAACCCTTTCTTCCTCGTGTACAACCTTCCCACATCCATTCTACACTAGATATAGTAGCTATTGCACTAGCACAGCAGGACCATTTCAAACTGCACTTACTGTTCCCACTGCTTAAAATGTTCTTTCCTCTAATTTTTAACACTGTTGACTTCATCTTGTCATTCAGGTGGCAGCTTTTAATTAGATAACACCCTTCTTTGATACCTTCCTTGTTAAACTCTCCACATCTTTGTTTTAATTCTCTGTATAGCACTTACCATATCAAATATTTTTCTTACCTGTGTACTTTTTAAGTACTCATAAATTCCGAAAGTACATAGACTTTTTCAATATTCTCCAACACTATGTTCCCAATACAAGGAACATGAGAATTTATAACAAGTTCAAAAAACATTGCAGTTACTTTCTCAACTCCACAGAGACAAAGATTACACAAAAAGGAGTAAAGGATGAGAATGACTTGAGAATCATTAACCTGCATAATTTTTAGTCTATGGAAATACATTAAAATTGGCTCTCTGATAGGTAAGACTCGGTTCTTATCATTTATCTATATATATTTATGGCATAAATACTCCTGCCATGGCCAATTTCAGCCTATTGCCCAAACATTACTGAATGCAGATCTGGGAATTGAGTGTACCACCATTATACATTTTGGTAGCATGGTGTGGAGTAGCACATTACTACATAGTATTTTCATTTATAAAGAGAAAAGATGTCAATAATCTCAAGAGCATGGATCATGGTCAAATGAGATAAAATGACTACTATATTAAAATGTGTCACCTGTGTTTTAACATAATTTTTATTGTTAAGCTTTTATCATTTGATTTTTAATAATGGCTGTGATTAACAACTGGTTCACAAAACTCCTGAATATTTAACAATTTGTCTCAGCTGGGACCAGTAGGGCTGGCTCTGTCAAACCACTAGATCTAATAAAATGGAATGAAGAGAAATGGCTTACTTGCATTTGTTTTATGTCAATTCCACTAACTGCGAGTAAACCTGCAATTACTGGTTTCTTAAGTTGTCAGTGAATCAGAGAAAACATAACAAGTAATCCATGACTATTGATTACAAATTACATGGAAAAAGGGGGAGATAATGACAGATCTATTATTTAAAATGATCAGAAGTTGAGAAAGGTAGCAGAAATATATACAACAAACTCTGTAGGGGATAATTTTGGGACAATGCCATTAAGTAGAAAATAGTCATATAAAAGCTGAAGGACTGTCTCTGGTGTGGATAATGGTGAAGATGATTTAAGAGGCATAGTAGTAGAATGTGAATCTAAGATTAAAGTGCCATTAAAAAACAAGGGTGACACTTAAATAGTATGTTGTGTCATCCTACTCATTGAGGAATGCCTGATTCACTCCTCAGGGTAAGAGTGGAGTTTTCAGTTTTTTTTTTTTTTTTTTTTTTTTTGAGACGGAGTTTCACTCATGTTACCCAGGCTGGAGTGCAATGGTGCGATCTCGGCTCACCGCAACCTCCGCCTCCTGGGTTCAGGCAATTCTCCTGCCTCAGCCTCCTGAGTAGCTGGGATTACAGGCACGCACCACCATGCCCAGCTAATTTTTTGTATTTTTGGTAGAGACGGGGTTTCACCATGTTGACCAGGATGGTCTCGATCTCTTGACCTCGTGATCCACCCGCCTCGGCCTCCCAAAGTGCTGGGATTACAGGCTTGAGCCACCGTGCCCGGCCCTTCAGTTTATTTTTAAAGAAAATAAAATCGTATGAAAATTTATAAATATTTATACGTTTCTAAATAATAGGATATTTGAGAAGGGAGTTTACGGGTTTGGGAAAAAAATAAAAATTAAGAATTTACTTAAGAAATTATCATTTTACAATGGTTTTCTGACACATAAACGACTTTACCAAGGGCCATATACCTTTCTCTGAACTTATATTTTCTGTCATTTCTTTATATTAAAGATCAAATTAGAGCCAAAAGAATTATGCAAAATAGGTAGAAGGGCTCAGATTACCTTTTTACAATCTCATAAATGCAACTGCTGTTAAGTATTTTTAAATAAAGGCTATGTCTATTCTATCCAGAGAACAAGAGACGAATATAATTCTTCTCAAGGATTTCTTGGACTACTAGAGTGTAGACTATTTGCTAAGGTCCTAAGATAGGACTCCTGGGCCATGAGCTTCATCTGACATTCTTCATGGTATGTTCATCATTGGTATTTCCACAACCACCAGAGAAGAAAAAATTCAGCTCCCACTCAGCAATGTCCCTATGACAGCTTTACTCTTGAATTAAGTCAAGAAAGTTGATGAGTTGGGAGATAAAGATCTGATATAGAGAATTAAACAAGAATGAAAATAAAGGAACAAAGACCTATCTGCTGACACCAAGCACCATGTCAGAAAATTGAGATTGTAGTCTTGTTTTTGCTACTTAACAGTCATCTAGCCTAGAGAAATTCAATTATTCACTAAATTTCTATTTTCCCACTGGAACATGCACATACTATTTTCTGTCTTATAACCATCACACAAGTGTATTTTGATTCAACCAGTATTAATTGAGCACCTATTACTATATGCCAAGCATAGTACTACTTATTTTCTTATTTAAAAACAAAACAATCCCCCAAAACATTAAATGCAGAAATATTTTCATCTATTTACTACCCATTCAACTTACCATACTTCTCGTTATACTGAGGCTTCCCCATATTACAATTCCAGAAGCACCCAGAGCAACAGTTTCACCAAGTGTATGCACAAGTTCATCCTGGAAAATGGGATCGGAAGAGTTAGCACATAAAAAATAAAATGAAAGTGCTATACATAGGACAGTAACACCAAAGCCAAGCATGCTGACCCAATAATAATAATTTAAATGTTTTCCGCTATTTCTATCTCTTACACCGCCATTGCCTTACTATAGAACAAATAAGATACTATTATTCTTTCAGTCACTTCTATTGAAAAGAGAACAGGCCTAAGAAAGAAAAGAAACTGAGTTCATACACTGTCTATACTACCTAATTCCCCCTGCTTGCTAGGAGATAATGAGATTACATTAAATATTAGATGTATTCTTATTTTGCATTCATATAATAATGTAGAACTACTTGTATGCACATTCCTAACTAATATTAAAAGCTAGATTTCACTCCCTTCAAAAATAATATTAAATTTCAATAAACATCTTTTGTTAATTTCGTTTCATAGCCCTCATGCCTTGATTACTCACCTTAGAAAGGAATTTCAAAACTTGATCAGTAAAAACTAGGCGGGCATATACAAAAACCGGAAGTGGACTGTTTTCATTGGGTATTTTAGAAACCCTAATGGCTTCCTGGACTCGATTGCGCACATAGAGCACAGCAGCTACAGCAGACTGTTGGGTGTTCAAATAAATGGATGGGTAAAGGGCGGTGCTTTCATTCCACAACCAGCTGAGATCATCATTTCTTTTTATTTCTATATTGGGGCAACTTCCATTGTAACCAGGCTTCTTATAGTGATGGTTGTAACAGTCCGGAAAAAGATAATAACCCCACAAGTGATTTGGCCGAAGTGCTTTTCCCAGTTTTATAGTCTCTAGCATGAAATCCTTTGCTGCCTTTTCAAATTCTTGTTTTGCTATATCAGTGGCTTGTGTGGGATTAAGTTGTACGTTTCGTTGCTGAACCAACTCAATAGACTTATTCTTGTAAATATCTTTAGGTTTCCAGTTTCTTGCCCAAGTGGGTCTCCATTCTTCCCAGTCAATCACACCCATTCCCAGATTGTCTACTGGCATATAAAAAATAATGTCTTTCCTAGATTTGTCCAAATGATCTTGTAAGGACATATTCTGGGGGATTCCTCCATTCACAATTGCTCCTGTCGTTGGATCTATATAAGGATAGTAGCCAAGCCTATCAACATAAAATATTGAAACACCTTGCCCGGTGACGTTTATTCGGGGGCTTCCTATTAAAGAGAAGAGGCTCATATCTAGTGGCTCATCAAATTTTCCAAGACAAAATTCAGATGGGGCATTCCAGGCCCAGAGAAAAGGCACATTTGGGATAATAGGGGGTGCTCTGAAATTCAGAGTCAAGGAACATCGAATCAGAAGGAAGGTGAAAACTATCGGGGATACTCCACTGGATTTAACAAAGCTTCCAAAAAAGATGTGCTTGAATTTTAGCGCTCCCATTATAAAGAGTAATGACTATGAAAACATTTATTTCTTCCTACACACTTTGGTTTACACAATATTTGATGCAAAGTATGAGCACAGGTGAAAGAGAATGGAATGAATTCACTTTGATAGGTAAAAAAGTATAATGATTATGTTACATTTAAATATTATTATTCTTGTTTCATATTTTAGGATTGTTTTGCAAGTTGCATCACCTATAACTGAAAAAGAAATACAGAATACATTGTTATCACTCATTTTATATTAAGAATGTAAGCTTTACCAAGTTCTCAACTTTAAGTTCAGTGGGTTTAATTTCATTTTAGAAGGTGGAGGACCTACTCCTGTGTTTAATTCAATTAAATTATTTCCTCTTATTTGTTATACAAACGCTATACTAGTTACCATTTTTCTCATCTTCCCAAATCACTACTGGGCCTGCAGAGAGGTGAATGTAGCTATTTTTCCTTTTGCCTCTCTGGGTGTAAAGAATGCTGTACCAAGCAATGTCTTAGCAAAACCCCACTGAATGAAAATAAATTCCAAGTTGTTCCTCTCATTTTGTTTATTGCTTCTTGAAAGATCACTTTATAGCAGTCTGGCATATACTGAAAACAACCTTTCACAGAATTGTGAAATTTCATCTTTTTTCCTCTTTCTTTTTTTTTCTTTTTTCACTTTTCCTTTCTTTCTTGAAGAGAAGCAAACTTACTTCTGCCAGAAGTAGTAAATCAACAGTTTGCTTGAATTTACTGAATCAACCAAAAACTTCTACCAAATAAGTTGAAAGGCTCCTTGGTACACTACTCAATCACATCTCACAATAATGTGCTCCCATGTTTAAAGTTAATAAAACATTTTACTACTTTACATTTTCTACTGAAAGCATTGGTTCTAGCCTAACTTAAGAAAAACAATATATAGATTTTGGTCTTTTTATAGGTTTGATAAGTAAGATTGTATTGTCATTCTGATTGTGACAAAGTGAGATATAATAGCACATACTTTGGCTGTATTAAACCACAAAGGTGGTACAATAAAATGGTCTGGGCAAAAAATTAAGTTAAACTACGTATATACTCAGCATTTTGTATTTGCAAAAATAACCTGCAAGAAGATATATTTATATGTTCTGTGATTCTAGGAGGGAACCGGAAACATTTTTGAAAATTAGATTAGTAGTATACTGCTACTTGAAAGTAAAACAAGAATCATACTATTCTTCCCAAGAACATGTGTCCTTGCCATAGCAAATTATCCAGTCATTCCCATTGCTGAAAAATAAATTACTCTCAAGAGGTCACCATGGTCAGAATAAAATAAAATCATAATTACCATTATAGTTGCATGTTTTGAAGATAATGAATTTTTTCCCTCATGTTTAGAGCATGTAAAATAGCTAAAGATTTTTGTAGTTTAAATACTTATAAATTTCTCTATTCAGGACATAGATAATCTTCATCTAAAGTAATATGGGGAAAAACTAATTGCTTTTAAATACTAACTATTGGTACTAATGCCTGAATGGCAGGGACAGAAAGAAAGAAGTGGAATGAAGGATTAACTTCCTCTGTATCTCAGGGAAGGAGTAAGCTAAACTTATTGAAATTAACATTCGACTCTATTTCCACATAATAATTTTATGTAAAACAAACACTGGGGCCGGGCACGATGGCTTATGCCTGTAATCTCAGCACTTTGGGAGGCCAAGGCAGGCAGAAAACCTGAGGTCAGGAGTTCAAGATCAGCCTGGCCAACATGGTGAAACCTCATCTCTTCTAAAAATACAAAAATTAGCATAGCATGAGCAGGCTCCTATAATCCTAGCTACTCAGGAGGCTGAGACAGGAGAATCACTTGAACCTGGGAGGCAGAGGTTGCAGTGAGCCAAGATAGCACCACTGCTCTTCAGCCTGGGTGACAGAACATGCCTCTGTCTCAAAAAGAAAAAGAAAAAAGAAAAACATGGGGCAGAATGAGCCTATTGAGAAGTTCTATAACCACAGAAGTCTTCAAAAAAGAATGGACGCTTCTATGCTTGAAATTTTACTCAATGAAATATCTTTCCCTCAGCATAAATCAAAGCCTTGGAACAGAGAATTGGCACAAAATTGAGGATAAACCTAGAAGTTAGCATCAAAAATAACATCTTTTTGTTTGAAGTATCTAATAGAAAACTTTACCTGTTTACAGAGAAAACCTGACATTGGCATAGGCAAAGAATTTATAACTAAGACCACAAAAGCAAATACAACAAAAACAAAAATGGAACAAACAGGACTTTATTAAACTAAAAAGCTTCTGCACAGCAAAAGAGATAATCAACAGAATAAACAGACAACCTACAGAATGGGACAAAATATTTGCAAATTATGCCTCTGACAAAGGACTAATACCCAGGATCTACAAGGAACTCAAGCAAAATTCAGAAGAAAACTAACAACCCCATTAAAAAGTGGGCAAAGGACATGAACAGACATTTTTCAAAAGAAGACATACAAGAGGCCAATGCATATATGAAAAAATGCTCAACATCACTAATCATTGGAGAAATTCAAGTCAAAACTGCAATGAGATATCATCTTACACCAGTCAGAATGGCTATTATCAAAAAGTCAAAAAAAATGTTGTCATGGATGCAGAGAAAAGGACACACTTATGCACTTCTGGTGGAAATGTAAATTAGTACAGCCTCTATGGAAGAAGCATGGAGATTACTTAAAGGACTAAAAATAGAACTATCAATCGTCCCAGCAATGCCACCACTGCCTATCTACTCAAAGGAAAATAAATCATTATACAAAAAGGCAGCTTTACTCATATCTTCGTTGTGGCACTATTCACGATAGCAAAGTCATGGAATCAACATAAGTGTTCCTCATTAGTGGACTGGATAAAGAAAATCTGGTATATATACACTGTGGAATATGATGAAGCCATAAAAAATTTTAAAAATCATGCTCTTTGAAGCAACATGGGTAGAGCTGGAGGTCATCATTCTAAGTGAAATAACTCAGACAGAAAAATACTGCATGTTCTCACTTATAAGTGGGAGCTAAACAATGAGTATTCATAGGCATAGAGATGGAAACGAGAGACACTGGGGAGTCTGAAAGGGAGGAGGTTGGAAGGGGGATAACAGTTGAAAAATTACCTATTTGGTACATTGATAACAATCTGGGTGATGGGTATACTTAGAAGCCCAAACCCTACCATTATGCAATATATTTATGTTACACACTTGAACATGTAATCCTTAATCTAAAATAAAATTAAGTTTAAATATCTTCTAATGAAAAAAAAACACTATTTAAAAAAATGCATAGAGACCCTAACAGAGAACAATAGATTTAGATTATTTAATCTTAAGATTCTGAATATACCTAAAATTCTACTTAAACTCTTATTTCTGTTGTAAAGGAATTTTATCACTGGAACACTTGCTAGCTAAATCCTTTGAACTAGGAATCCCTTGTCTAAGGATAAGTTCAGAATGATTTTGTAATAAAAATTATGTAGCTACATGTAGATATTCACACGTGTAGTATTCACCACTACGTATTCTAGCGTCTATGAAATGAGAAAAAATAAAAAGCAAGTTCAATACCCAATGATAAGACATGCTTAAATACAGTATTTCAGCCTGAAAGAATGTATCCAGATATCAGAACTAGTTGCAAAGATAATGATGCAACATGTAAATATGTTTGCCTAAAATACTAAGTGAAATAAAGTACAAAAATACACAGTTGAAGTATACAAAAACACATAAGTACATGTTTAAGGAATTAAAAAAACATTCTAAAATATGGAAGAATATTGGTATTTTCTGAGTGTCCATTATATATTTATGATCTTCTAATTTTCTTTCATCCAACTATCATATTGTTTCTCAAATAAAAAGTGGGAACAAATAAAATTTTAGTGTTAGAAAATAGTTTGCCAGAACAGATTTGAATCTCAGCTTCCCTTCAGTGAGGAAAGACAAATAACCATAAATCTCTCCACACATTGTTTACCAGTTTGCTTGTATAGGAGATTCTTGTTCTTGTACAAGGACGAGGAGTTGATGATTGAGAAACTTTTTTCAGATAAATTTTACTGTGTATATTTAATGTATACAACATGATGTTATGAGAAGATTAGGATTTTAGAGGTAAGGAGAAGAGAGGGGGAAAAAAAGCCAAATTTCTTGGCTTAATTCTCAGCTCTTCTCTTCCACAACAAACACTTTATTTCCATAACAAATGCTTTCTCTCTAGAGAATCCTAACAGACATGGAAGTCAGTCAAGATACTGTCTTCAGAATCTACCTTTGGTGTTCCTGTTTCCTGTGAGTCTATGTGTATATTATCTCAACGGAATTAAGAACTGAATTTAGATACAATACTCTTACCATTAAAATTGTTATAGATTTTGAATATAAATTATGATTATAAATATTCAAAAATTCAGGAATGTGGACAAATATTTACAAAAGGCAAGACTATAACTTTGGTGAACGCACACCATATCATTACTGAAGGGGGAGGGGGCAAAGAGGGTCCCAAATCTAAGTCACTCACAAGGCACCTCCTCAGTCTCCGTTTCTCTACAGTCCGCACTCAAAATAACTAAACTTTGTTACAAGACTCAACAAATGGCCCCAAGCCTCAGGAAACCTCAAAATACTGAAGGTAATTTTAGTATTCTAAATTACTTCTGTACATACTGTGGGAATCATTCTTTAACATGAAAAATGAAAAAAATTTCCACGAGTGGTAGGTGCCAAGTTGATTGCCCTTGTATCCTCAATACATTTGGTAAGGTGTGTATCATTTCTAAGGTACATAGTTCATAAGCCCAACCCAAAGGCTAATACCTCCAGTTACAAATTACAGTGACTCCAAGCTAAGAACTTTAAAGAAACTTTTAAGAGACTCGCATAATGTTCCCAAAAGCAGAAAACAAGTACATTTTTTCTCTTAAAGCAAAAAATTTACAATTATTTTCAGAAATGAAAGGAGCTTTTACGTAAGATTTTTTCTAGGGAACTTCTTAAACTATGGTGTTTTATAAATAAATTGACCAGAAATAATAGATATCATAAACTTGATTCAACAAGAGAAGTTAATCCCATTTTAGTGGCATTTCATCAACTCTTTTTTCCTTCCCCTTTGTTATTACTGTCATAATTATTCCTCTCCTTTGGTTCTTTCTAGCCTCATCTTAACTTTCTCAGT